TTCTTTTTGCTTGATATTCTTTAATTTCTTCTTCTAATTTTTTAATCTGCTTTTGTAGTACTTTAATTTCTTCTTTTTCTTTATAATTTTCCTTTTCATTCTTTGTTTTTGTTTCTTCTTTGTTTTCTTCTTGTGTTTTTCTTTCTTTTTCTGTTTTATTTATTATTTTAGCCATTTTACATCTTTTTTTTTGTAATTCTTTGATTGGGTTTCTACTTTTCATTTCTGTTTCGATTGCTTGGATGTCTTCTTCCCATCCTTTTGTTCTTTCCTTAAATTCTTCTTGCATTTCTTTCTAATTGCATATACTTCTTGAAGAATATCATATCATCTTTTTCTTTTACCTTCATATTTTTTAAGTATTTCTGAATATTCTCCTTTTCCCCATTTACTTGTTATATTTTTTATTCTTTCATGTATCTCTTTTATTGTTAACCGTCTATGTCTATTGTTTGTATATTCATTATTATTCCAGTATTTATCCTGTTTTTTATTCGTTCTTCTTTGTCTTTGTTGTTTTTAAACCCTTTTCTCTTGGTATTTCTTTTATCATAATTGTGATATCTTTTATTATAATCGTAATATCTTTTATTGTTGTTATTGGCATTTAACCTTGTATTTCTATGTCTTGTTTGGTTTTCTTTACAAGACGTCAAGGCATTACTCCATAACAATGGCAATAAAATTTGTTGTATATCCTGCATTGGAAAAGGATCTCCAAATTAAGACAGAAAATAAACAAAATGTTAAAAAGAAGAAATAAGCAGAAGAAGGATGAGAAGAAATTAATAGGAAAAAATAAAGCAAAGAAGTAATTTTTCTTATTTTGCAAGAAAAACATAAATGATAAGTTAAACAAAAAGATTACTCTTTTTTTTAAAACAGCTCAGGGATTAATCTCTCCTAATCTAGGAAGAATAGATGAAAAATATATTAACACTTAATTAACTAATTTTTATCAATAACATTATCATCATTTATTCTAATTATTAAAAACGTCAATTAATAGATATATCCTCAATTGGATTTTCTTCATACTGAGAAGTGATTATTTCAGTTTCTTCAATATGCTCTATTGTTGTAATAGAGTTATTTCTAACATACTTGCATTAGTTTGTTTTTCTTCTAATGTACTGCCAGAATTGAATATGTAAAACATTAAGTCTTTCATAGTTTTTTGATAATGATTGTTCGTAGGATTTTGGAAAAGTCTAATTTTAATTTCAGTGATTTTAATCTTCTTACTGATTCTTTGTGAATTAATCAAAATATTGATAAAATAACATGTATTATTTCTACATATATTATTTATCTATTATTTCTTATTTTCTCTTGTAATTCTTTGTACTTATTTATTTTATGAATATAATTTAATTCTAAATTATTATCTTGACATATAGCAAAATCTATAATATATCCTTTCTTTTCTGTAATATTTTGATAATATATATCTTATCTTCTAGCATGGAAAGAATTGTCATTAACCAATAAATCTTTATTGTAAGTTATAACCATTTCATCATTATTAATACATTTAGGAGGATTATTAAAATCAATAGCATCAAATTCATTAAAATGTGTAATTAATAAATGTTTATATATTTGTTTACATACATAATCATGTTTTAATATTTGATTCTTTTTCATTACAGGACATCCTAACAATATATGACTAATAGATGCAATTGTGTTAGGGCAATGTTTACAGTATTTTAAATCACCATTTTGGAGTATTTTTGATTTAATACTTCCTGTCATAGTTACTCCTTCTTGCATCTTTACTATTTGGAGGAATGCATTTCTTTTTATATTTAATGACCTCCATGTGGCTACTGTTAATTTCTTATTATTGAAAGTGCAATTTGCACATCTTATATATTCACCACATTTCTTTTCTTTCAATTCTTTTAAATATCTTTCATTCATTATTTACCCATTCAAATATTTCCTTTACATCATGTTTTCTTTCATTTAATTCTATTATATTCATTAATTCATTAAAATTAATCTTCTTACCAAATGCTTTCTTCATTCTTTTAATTATTCCATTTGGATTTTCTTTTATTGCCTCTATCATTTCTCCTATTCCTGTGTTTAATATTTATATTTTAAATATATTCTTCTTAATTCTTTAGCACATTCATCTCTTGCTGACATTAATCCTAATCCCAATTCATTTATTTTAACATATAATCTACTTTTTGGGATATTTCTACTATATAATTGGAGTATATTCTTTTTTTATTTACATAAAATGCTAAAGTCGAAGAGATAACATGAAAAAATAAAAGAAAATGAAACTAAAAAGAACAATTAGTCATAACTCTGCACATTTTGATAAATTTTTTTTATGTAGTCAAAATTGTCAGTATGGAAGTCTTGGTCTATATAAAAGTTTTCAGGATAATATGGGTCTAAGACAAGTCTTGTCTCTTCTTTCTTATATGGTGTTTTTGGAATTATTGAGGGTTTTTCTTTTAATTTAAAATTTCTCTTAACAATACGATAAGAAACAGAAGGTTCATCTGACTGTTTTGTTTTAAGTTTATTCGTTATTTCAGGAATAGTAAAATCTTTTAATTGCCAATAACTGGTTTCTTGTGATTCATTACTTTTATTTTGGAAATAGTCAGACGTACTTAGTGTAATATAAACCATTTTTTTCCAAGCCTCATTTTTAAATTCTTTTAAATGGCAAACAATGTCCCAATGACGTTCAAAAAAGTTATACAACTCCTCAATTTCAATAAGCTTTTTATCTTGGTTATTGTACATCGATAAAAAAGCACACCGACACAAATCAATCAATGAAACATTTTTGTTAGTTTTAATTTCTGAACTAAACTTTGTACAGAAAAGGCAATTACATGTATTTTCCATAGAAATTATTGTTTTTTAGTTTAAAAAAGCTTTTGAATTTTATTTCATTAAAAACTATTTTATAATTTAAAAATAATATATTTGTTTTGTTTTTATATGAGAAAAGAAGAGGGAAAGTCAGAAATACTACACACAACATTAAAATGAACTAATGTACTGAATCCCCAATTATTATTTGCTTATGTTTTTTTTTCTTTGGTGAGATAATACCTTTTCAATGTTAGTTAGTTATTATTTATTAATATTTAATATAATGGATTATTAATGAAGTATTTAATATGATGATGTTATTTATTTTACCAACACAAAAATATATTTGGTAATAATAATTTTGAATAAGGTATATTAGTATTATCAAGAAAAAAGTAGTTGTTAAGTATTTGTTGATATTGAAGGAGATGAAACATAGTCATAGTGTTATTGATATGTTTATCATAAAATAAGAAATTAAAGAACGAGGAGTTATAAAATTCATTAACTTTAAAATAAAAATTAAATGAAGAATCATTTAAGTTGATAATGATTGAAAAGATTTTAATTCAATAAAAAATAAAACATATTAAAGAATTTAACTTATTTATTTCTCAATATGAAGAAATACTATTCGGTTAGTCATAATTGACTTATTTTTTATTCTTCTTGCTCGTCATACACTCAATATCAACTGAATATCAAAAAAATGAAATTAATAATGTTATAATTTAATTTCATAAATAAAATAATAGTAATTTTTATTAAATTGTTGAGAAAAATAATAATTTAAAATGAAATAATTTAAATATTATTAATAAATAGTTTTGAAACCAATTTATTAATTTGTTAATTCTAATAAATTTATAATTAGAATAATTTTATTATAAAATAGTAAATTAATTTTATTTCTATAAATGTTTTAATTTAGTTAAACTTTTTTATTTATCATTTAAATTGAAAATATATATATTATTTAGTCTTTCAACCTTCATTACTTTCCAATTTACCATTACTTTGTTTATTAATGTTATTTATTAGTTAATTGTTATATTATCATTTTTTTGTTTTGATTAAATAATTAGTTAGACTCCTTTTGGTTTAACAAGGTATTTCTTAATCTATTATTTTTTGTTTATAAAAATGATATATTTAAATAATAAATATCATCTTATTAAGTATTTATTATTATGTTAATGATATTTATCATATTTATTTCATTACTTCTTAAGGTAAATAATTTAATGTAATTTTCCAATGAGTTAGGTTTAAATTAATTAAATATTATTGACATAATTGAATTTATTGTATTGTAAATTGTTTTGTGTATTAAGAATAAACCATATTATTATTTTCCGTTAATTAAACACTAAAATAGAATATTAATAGTTTGAATAAAAATTTAAACTTTTATAAAATAAATATCATTTTTATTTTATCATTTTTGGAATTATTTCATTTTATTTGTATCAATAACTGCTTTGAGAATAATACTAAAAACTTCTTTGAAATTATTTCATTTTCACTAACTTTTGTTTCATTGAAAAAAGCTAGAAAATAATGCAATTCTTCTCTTCATCAAAAGAAAATAACCTATCTATTATTATTACTCTCTCTTTTTTCTTTAAAAACTATTTTTTTAACAATTTTAGTAAATTTTTAGATAGAACTTTTTAAAAGCAAATAAACAATGAAAATTCAATTATTAAAAATGAAATATAAAACAAAATAAACATATTCTTTTTTTGATAAACAAAAAAAGGAAGAAAAGAACTTAAAAAAAAGAAAAAGAACTTAAAATGAGATTGAAGAAGAAAGAATGAAAGAGAAAGGACATGCGTCAGTGTTATCAACTATTTTTAATTTATCAAATACAATAATTGGAAGTGGAACATTAGCTATTCCATTTGCATTTCTTTATTCAGGATGGGGAATAGGATTAATAATGTTAGGAATAGGATGGATATTATCAGCAATAACAATGATATTTCTAACGTTAGCATCAAATAAAACAAATAAATTTACATATAAAGAAATTTCATATTGTGTTGGTGGGAAATATTTATCAATTATAGTACAATTATCAGCATTTTGGTATACTACAGGAACATGTATTGGATATATAATTTTTCTTGGAGGA